AGGGGGAGGAGGGCGGGGGGCAGGGAGTAGGATGGAGTGGATGCTTGCATGTGTTGTGCAGGTACTCAGGAGTGCCTCAGCCTCCCGAGTACCTGGAACTACAGGCATGCACCAGCACACCTGGGTACTTATTGTATTTTTAGTAGAGACAGGGTTTCACCATGTTGGCCGGGCTGGTCTGGAACTTCTGGCCCCAAGTGATCCACCCACCTCGGCCTCCCAAAGTGCTGGGATTACAGGCGTGAGCCACCGTTCCCAGCTGCAGCCAAGATTTCTAAAATTGCAGGGCATCCTTCCTTTGCCTCTGGTTGTGACTGTGGATAGTGCAGCTTCTGCTATGTCTCCGGCTACAGACCCATTACAAATGCGCACTTACCTTCTGCGCTGAACTGGTGCTGTGGACCTGCAGTGATTTCCGTTCTTTCCTGCTGCTGCATAGCCCTCTTTTCCTCTACTCCTGCCCTTTTCCACAGATACCTTTCTGAGCTCTTGTTTAGGAATAAATACATTTTATTTATTGTCAAATAAACACAGCCAGGACAGATTGAGTGCTCTAAGATTCTTCCTTTAAGAAGTATTTTGTAGATACTGCAGGACTTGTTAATGTCCTGAATATAGAGAGTAGGTTTCAACTATAGGACCTATCCTCCATCGTTTGGGTGACTCATTCTATTTTTGCTTGCACAACGACCCTTTTCATCAACCTCATTTTATATAAGACATTAAACTGTTTTGTGGGCCCCTACATGTACTGTGGGTTCCAGTCACCTCAACGACTGATCATAATGGATGAGTGCACCCATTATACCTCATGTTCCCAGAGGATGGGTAAGAAAACAGCTAGAAAATATTTGACCAATTCACTTTCGAAGAGATGGGAAGGGATGACAATCTGACAGCATCTTTCTGATTTTAACTAAGATGTCTCCTCCTCAGGCTGGCTCCTCCTGGAGCTAAACTGCTGGAATCTGAAATTATGCTTTGCTTACCTGTTGGTAGCTGGCTAATCTCACTTGATCACTCTCCGTTTGTGTTAGTTTTCTAATCTGTAAAATGGGAATGACAATGATAACTATCTCATGGGGTTTTTGAATAGATGGAGATGATTAAACATGCTGCCTCATATTTCCTGCTTCTGCCAGTTTGTATGTGTTTATTCACAAGGGTCCTTGAAAGGAGAAAGATGATGGTTATTCTCTGGCAGTGGGCAACAGGGGCAGGATGTTTTATTGTGAAAATAATGGTTCCATAAGTCTTTTTGTACCTATATTTACTTCACTCAGTAACCTTTGTTGGCTGCTGTGTTTACAGGGCCCTGTGCCAGGAAATGTGAGGATTGCCACAATGTCTGATCAATGCCTGACCATTGTGCTGTAGGTTCTCAAAGTGTAGCAGGATTGATAAGGAATCAGAGAGATCGATGGGGTTCAGGAGGATATTTATTATTTAGGTGCACCAGCCCAGTCAGATTAACATCCAAAGGACTGAGCCCTGAACAAACAGTTAAGTTACTTTTTAAGCATATCGTGGGGCAGGGGGAAGCATATTACAGAAGTGAGAAACAGAGACAGTTATTCAATTAATTGAGACATGCATTACATCATTTCTTAATTTTCAAGGAAAAACAGGTTTTACAACTTGAGTTTATCTGTCTAGTGACCTTGCAGCTGCACAGCTCGGGAAACAGGGTCTTTACAATGTCTGGGAAAGGAGGAGAGATAAGGCTCACCGGCCACAGAAAAACAGGCAGTTAATTTTTAAAGGACTCCAGCTCTTTCTTTTTCTCAGGGGGAATTGGGTTTTCTTACATACAACCGAGTTTCTGCTTACACATCCTTTAATTTCTTTTAATTCCTGTTCCATTCCCCCCTTTGGTGCTTTTTATAACAAAGGTGTTAATAAAAAGCACCACTTTTGCCACCTCTTCACAGAGCTGAGCTTCTTCTACTGGCAGCGGCTGATATTTGGTTAATGCCATCAACTGCATGGTAGTGTGTCGGGTTACTACTGCCTCTATAGTTGACTGAATACGCCTAATAAACGGAGGTAAAAGGCAAGGGAGGATGAGGCAGATGCCAAGAATAAGCAAGAACCTACCAATGAGGGTTTTGAATCTTCCAAAGGTTGAGAACCATTTTCCAAACAAGGAATCCGGGGACCACCCAGACCAAGTCTGAACTAGAACATGGGCCAGCTCGCACATTCTAGCTGTGATTTCCATAATAGCTCGGCCATTATCAACGATTTCTAGGCAACAGTTAGTTAAATTAAATTTTCTACCTACTACTCCTTCTGAGGCTAAGAGGTAATCTAAAGCTAATCTATTTTGATATACAGCATTTCTTATTTGTGTTGCTTGTATTGCCAATAAACCTAGTGCCCTTGATGTTTCATTGGTTATAATTTCAAGGACTACCTACAACTTTATGATGCAGTTGAGCATACAGATTGGGGTGCAATATCCCCATGACCCGTCTTGCGCCCAGGTAGCTGGCTTATAATATTCAATGATTCTTTCAGGAGACAATTATCTTTTCAGTCTCCTATGTCCACATCTTTTTGACATTTGTGTCTATTTTTGTGATTATGCTTCTTCTAGTTCTTTTATTTTCATCATAAACTGGATATCCTAAGAGTTCCCTTTGCTTTAGAGGAATTAGAAAGGACGGCTTGATTGTTCCTAACATACATGCCCCTGTCCATTTAGCTGGCAGTTGCTGATATGCCCATGCTCCACAGATCCATTATAGGACAGAGGGTACCTTCCAAGCATTTGGAGCCTCTACCTGATACCAAGTGTGGCTTAGAGTAGAGAATCGAGAGAAAGGGTTTGGACCTGGTAAGTAGGAGTCACTCTGGGCGTTTCTCCATAGAGTTTTGCTTTTAGTCTCATCATAGTACTGTTGCCCTAGGCAGGTTGTTTCTCCTACTGCCTCTGTGAAAGCCTTTCCCCATCGGGTGATACAGTACTTTTTAATTATGGGGGTTTTTAACAACCAAACACTGACTGAGGCTGTTGGTTCACTGGCAGGGTTAGGTGAAGTGAAGTGATCTTTTGGCATTAATTCCTTTGCCTCCCATGGCCACTGGTCCCCCATATTAGTTCCTCCACATCCATAGCATGAGGAAATTCCTAAGCTGCCAGTTATGTTTTCAGCTAGTTGAGCAAAAAAGTTTTTGGGTGATGGGGAAGCTCAGGCACTGGCTGTTCAAAATGCTTATAGAATGACTTATGGACCCAGAATTGCAGGATTGGACACTTTTGAGTCCTTCTAGTCTTTCTGACAATCAGTAGTGGAACTCCAAGGCCTGCTTCTTGTCTATCAACTCATAATAGTGCTGTCTGTCCTGTAGGCCAAAAAGGTAGCTCTGGCTTTAAGATAGTAAAATTTAAAGGATTGCATGTTCTTGTCTTACAATTTGGTTTGGTTGACATACTATTTAGCAGAGCAGTCCTTCCTGAATATAAGTGTTGGAGCTGTGTTAGCATAGACCACTGAATGTTACAGTCCAGGCATCCGATTTGTGGTTCTCCATACAGATGTTTAGGACTGTTGTTGTTAAGCCTCTCTTGTGTTAAACCATTGCAGACTGCTTCTTTTTTTTTTTTTTTTTTTTTTAAGATTATGAACATATGTGGCATGGCAGGCATCAAAGTACAAGGAAATGTGCCTTTTATAGGAGGGAGGGGCTTCTTTTGTTCAAGCTATAAGCTCTCCTTCTTTTTCTCCCTCTGATTTAATATATACCTCAAATCAGAATTCATAAAGTAAGAGTTTTGGGTAATAACATACATATAGCTGATTATTTCCTGGGTCACAGACTGAATAGGTGGTCTGGTTGTATGCGCAGGTTCCTAACTTGGTTCCTGTACATTCATAGTAGGTTTGGTACAGTAGAGTTTTAAC